GGGCAACTGCTCTGTAACGAGTCAGTTGTGTGTCCTTGCTGTCGCGCTGTACTTGTCAGGTCAAAGGTCGCTGACTTTTGACCTTCGCGTAACCTCCGACAGTTACTTCAACCTCCGAGGGTTGACTCGCTGGTGCTTCGATAATGTTTTGCTTCGCTTGTGTCTTGGTGTTTCGACACGACAGAGGCGCTTAAGTTAGTTGTTCCCAACACTCCCCTTCGCTTCTGGAGTGTCGCTGCTGGTGACGTGGCTCTGTCCAGTCAGCAGCATGCAGTACTCGAACTTCTGCTTTCCGAGCTTCTTGGTCAAGTAGTCAGCTGCCATCTCGGATGTGGGGCAGTATAACAGCTCAAGTCTTCCTTTCTCGATCTCGTCCTTCACGAAGAAGTATTGCAGGGCGATGTGCTTCGTCCTGTTCGCAAAGCCGTTTTTTTTTGCGATGCGAATTGCCGACTGGTTGTCGCAAAACAGGGTGAAGCTGGGTAACTGAGCCAATTTTGCTTCTTCCAGCAGTTCGCGAAGGTAGAGTCCTTCCTTGGTGGCTGAGCAGAGTGCGATGTATTCTACTTCGGCTGAGGAGAGAGCAATTAGTTCTTGCTTGCTCAACTGCCAGGAGATAGGACCGATAGGTTCGAAGCGGTAGATGTAGCCGGTGCGTGAGCGTCTGTTGTCGGAGTCGCCAGCGTGATCGGCGTCGACGTAGCCGATTAATTTAGGAGCCGTGGTTCCATTCTTGTGGTAGGTTAGGCCGACGGTCGGGGTGCTGACGAGGTAGTGGAGAGCGCGGTCGAGTTCTGCCATGTGGTCTGCTTCGGGCTTCTTGAGGTAGGTGGCGAGCTGGCTCGCGGAGTATGATAGGTCCGGACGACACGTGACAGCTGCGAAGAGAAGACATCCTAGTTTTCCCTAGTAGTCGCGTATGCCGGTGGGCTTCAGCGGGGCGGATCCTTCTTTGTGGTTTCCTGCCGTGTAGCGATATGGCGTGGAGATGGAGGTCGGTGTGAGAGCGAAGCGTTTGGCGATGGTGTCGGCGTATTTCGCGGCGCTGAGGTAGATCGCGTCCTCCTCTTCCCGTATGTTGAGCCCGAGATATTGCGTGACGGTAGATGAGACTGTGAGCGTAAGGTCTTGCTGTAGCTCCCCTTCGAACCAGGTAGTGACGCTGTCGGTTGAGGCGATATAGAGCAAATCGTCAACGTAGACGATTAGCAAGATGTAGTCGGTGCCCTTTGTGAGCCGGTACATGCCTTGGTCGTGAGGTAGTTGGCGGAATCCGATCCGAATGAGTCTTGCGTGCAGGTACTGCTGCCACAGCCTCGGGGCTTGTTTGATGCCATAGAGCGACTTCAGCAGCTGACAGACCTGGTTAGGTTCTCCGTTGGAGCCGTGCGGTAGCTCGACGAAGATTTCGGCGTCGACAGGTGCGTAGAGAAATGCGTTGGCGACGTCAATTTGCCGCAACTTCCTTTTCTTCATGGCGGCGATCGCGAGGAGAATTCGAAGCGAGGTGTGTCGGCTGACTGGAGCGAATGTCTCGGTGAAATCGCGTCCGTGTTCCTGGTCGAAGCCGCGCACGACCCAGCGTGCTTTGAACTTGTCGATGGTGCCGTCAGCCTTTGTCTTCACGCGGAAGACCCACTTTCCGGTGAGAGTCGTCTTGTTCCGTGCTACGCCGATAGGAACAACCTTCCAGGTGTTGCGTTCCTCCAGTGCTTTCAGCTCCTTGTCCATGGCTTCACGTCATTTTTCCTTATGCTCCCCCCCCAGAGCCTGCTGAACTGTCGCAGGCTCTTTAGGAATGGCTGTCCCGTGGACTGCGGTGACGAGGCCGAGTATCTGGAGTCCACTCTGTGTGTAGTGGGGAAGTGATGTGTCCTCGGGATAAGCTGCTTCGTCTCCCTCTTCTGGCGTAGGATTGAAATTTGGTCCTACGCGTTCTGCTTCGTTGGTGTTGACTTGTGCAGGTGTAACGTAACCGTTGTCGGCGAAATGGTAATAGGCTTCGGCGTTGATGCTTTCGCGTGGATTCTCGTCATCCATTGGAACGTCGACGGAGCAGTAGGGGAGAGGTCCGGCTTCTTCCGAGGCTCCTTCCACGTTCTGCTCGTCCCAATCAGCTTCATCTTCTGCCGAAGCGAAGGCTCGGGTACCAAGAAAGCCATCGGAGCGGTCGGGGTTTCCTTCTTGCAAATTGGCGAGGTAGTATCGGAGGGTGATGTTTTCGTAGAAGATGACATCACGTGCTGCTACTGTTTCCTTTGTCTCGATGTCGAAAATCTTCCATGCGTTGTAATGTTTTTCGATGCCCAGGTGTAACCCCCACTGTGCGCGTTGGGAGAATCGACCAGCTCGTGCAGATGGGGGCCGGTACTGTACCATGCAGCCGAAGACTCTCAACATTTTTGTGCTGCCCAGTTTTCCTGTCCACAGCAGATGCGGTGATGCGTTGTTCGGGAGCGATGATGACGAGAGCAAGTTGTGCAGCATGACGGCGTGGTCCATTGCTTCGGGCCACTGGTGGTTGGGCAGGTGCATGCCACGTAGCAGCTTGCGCATGGTGTTCTGGAGGGTCTTGTTCATCCTTTCTGCTACACCCTGCTGTTGATGGGCGTAGGGGAGAGAGATGAGTCGCTTGATTCCTCTCTCTGCGAGGTAGTCCTTGAAGCGTTGTGAGGTGTATTCTCCTCCTCCGTCTGACTTGAAGCTTTTGAGTTTTACTCCGGATTCTCGTTCTGCTACTGGAAGCCAGGCTACGAAGGCTTCGAAGGCCATGTCGCGGCTTGGAAGATTTAGGTGCCAGACGTATCGTGTGGCAGCGTCGATGAAGGTGATGGTGTAATTGTACGCGTTTTGTCCAGGCTCGCGGTTGTACAGGATGTCGCTGTACACCTTTTCGAGTGGCGCGTAAGCTGGTGCGCTTGGGTTGTGGTGAGACACGAACGGTTGATGCGGTAAGTCTGCTTCAGGACATGTGAAGCATGTTCCACGGGCTCGCTGAAGTTCTCTGCTGTCAGTTAGGAGTAGAGAGTCTTTGTCGAGCACGCCTGCTCTTATCGTGTTATTTAGCACCGTGTTGCTTGGGTGACCCATTCTTGCGTGCTAGGTTCCTTCGGTGGTGCGATGTCCGGGTGAGCGCCGATACATGTTGGAGTTGGAGTAGAAACCGGCGGTGAAGTTAGCGTTGTCTGTTGCTTGATACATGCTTTTCAAGTGGCTGTATGCGAGCTCGGCGGAGTTGCCGTATCCCCGGTAAGACCGTATATTCTGTTGCTGAGTCGGGGTGATATTCCTCAGTAGGATTGTGTACGCCATCATTGACTGATAGGTGTACTGCTGCTTCTCGTACTGTGTGCCGTTTGTTGGGTATGGCAGGGATCCGTCGAAGAAGCCGAGGATTTGCGCGCCTTCCATCATCAGCTCGAACTCGAATGACCAGGTAAAGAAGTCCTTTCCGTCGAAAGGTCTTGACGTCTGCAGCTTCAGGACGTGCGCGAACTGCGACTGAACTTGTAGCGCGTCCAGTGTCTTCTCTTGTCCAGGTGCAGGCTGTGGTTGTGGCATAAAGCTGACGGAGCCGCGCTGGGGCTCGTACGGAGCAAAGGTAGGTTGCTGCTGTTGATTTCCACGTGCGTAGGATGAACCATCAAGGCTCATTGGAGTCACGTCGTTGTTGTTGTTGCTGTTGTGTGACTGCGCAGGTGCCGATTGCTGGTGTTGCTCATAGAAGGACATGAAGGAGAAAAACTTCTCCATCATGCTCTGGTCGAAGCCTGCATGTTGATTCGCGGGAGTCTCGGTGGATGTTGCCCTGGGTCTTATTGCCGTACCCTCCTCTGTCTGTAGGCCAGAGGAAGGAGGTGGAGTAGGAGTAGTGCCGGGAGAACCAATAGAGGAACTCCTTTCCTTCTGAGTAGCCATGTCTTCTGATGTTGTAGGTGTCTTGATAGTTGAATTCCCCCTGATAGCTCTCATACCATGTGGTTGAGAAATAGCCCTTAGGATCTTTGCAGGGGTGAACTCTGGGTAGAACTGATGTAGTAGCGGAAGCGTTTAATGAAGAGTTGTGAACCACCTTGCGCTAGTATGTGAGGGCAAAGTTGATTGATTAAAACAAAGAGATACAAGATTATATAGGAGTACAGAGAATATGAAGAGATACAGTTATAACTACTTTACTGTTGCTGTTGCGGTTCGATACAGTGACGACTCGGGCAACTGCTCTGTAACGAGTCAATTGTGTGTCCTTGCTGTCGCGCTGTACTTGTCAGGTCAAAGGTCGCTGACCTTTGACTTCCGCGTAACCTCTGACAGTTACTTCAACCTCCGATCGCTGGTGCTTCGATAATGTTTTGCTTCGCTTGTGTCTTGGTGTTTCGACACGACAGAGGTGCTTAAGTTAGTTGTTCCCAACAGCTGGTACGCGCTTCAGAGTAAACCTCGATAAGCGGAACGGCAACCCTGAGGTGACAGTGTTCCTTAATCTTAAAACCTGGCACATCAGGGTAAATCAAGGTCCCGAAAAAATTACCCAATAGCATCAGTGTTACTACCAAAAATCACCCTTCTAGTCAGGGCATCAGGGTGATTTACACTCATAACGTGGGCCCTGGTCTCAACGGTCCCATTTTCGGGGATGGGGAAGAATAAATCCCCTTTGTGGAAACAATCCAAAGGTTGATATCTAAACATGTTATATGTAAACATTCTTCTCAGATGAATGTCAAGGACGATAAAGTGCTAAATAGAAAACTGACTACTGTATAGCGAGTCAATTTCCTGATTCCTGTCTGCGCGCCAATGTCCCAGATTCGTGCGTTTTTTTTGCATTGCATGCCACTGTATCACTCACGCACTGTTCACCAAGCCTGAGACCAGCAGTGGCTAGTCGTATTTCCTCGACAATCGCTTAGTCGTTCTCACTCGCTTCTATTCCGCAATCGACGTATCCGCTTCCGAGGTTTATTCCCCTCTTCTCTAGTCCCGTCCGTTACCGCTTCGTAATGGCTGCACCAGAAGCGGAGGCCACGGCACCGGCTGCACCGGCGGCGGCGCCGGGGTCCGTGGACACGTCGGCGCAGCTAGCGGCGCTGCGCGCGCTGATGGCGAAGTACGAGAGCGGCGCGCTTGCTGCTTACATCGTGCCGTCGGAAGATGCGCACCAGGTGAGCGCGCGAGCAGACTCTAAGAGTGATTAATATTATTACATGAAGTTTCTGGATCGAATGCTGGCTTAGCCGTTTCCACGGGATGATTTTCCTGTCAGCGCGCCATCAATTTGTACAGTGATCTCCTAACCTTCCACCCTCTATTTCGTCTCCCTTCCCCCCCGCCGTGTCTTGCTCTCCTTCTCCCTTTCCCCACTCCCTCCGCCTTTTGTTTTGTTTTTTGTTTTCGCCCCGCTCGGCTGGCGGACGGCCTTTCTCGGGCATCACTTGCGCGTTGCGCGCTGTTGCATCGCGCGCGTTGCGACCCGCGCGTGGGCAGAGCGAGTACGTGGCGGAGTGCGACCAGCGCCGCAAGTTCATCTCGGGGTTCTCGGGATCCGCAGGTGAGCCCGCACGCCGCCATGCCGCCATGCCGCCATGCCGCCATGCCGCCATGCCGCCATGCCGTCATGTTGCTTTGCGATTCCCTTCAATTCACTGTCCTCCCTCACCCCCTCCCCTGCGATCACCGTTCCCTTACATTGCGCAACCCCTCACCATGCGCCGCACTTCCCCCCCTTTCTGCGCAACCCCGCACCATGCGCGAACTCTCTCCGCCACGTGGCAGGCATAGCGGTGGTGACGGCGACGGAGGCGCTGCTGTGGACGGACGGGCGCTACTTCCTGCAGGCGGCAACGCAGCTCAGCACCGACTGGCGCCTCTGCAAGGCCGGCACGCTCGAAAGTTGGATCTCCACGGTTCGCCGCCTCCCCCCCTCTCTCTCCGCCTACCCCTCTTCCGCCCGCTTTCCGCATACTCCACTTCCGCATGACCACGTGCCCCTATGTCCCCCCCCCAGCCCTCCACGCAACCCTTCTCGCCCCCCTGCTCCTTGCCCCTTGCTGCTGCACCCTGCTCCCCTCCCCTGCTCCTCTCCAGCCCACCTCTTCCCTTGCCCCCCTTTTTCCCCCTCCACCTCCCCCCCCTGCGCCTTTCCCTGCCCCTTCCCCTTGTCTTATCCCCTTCCTAACAGCACTTGCCGAGGGGGGCGCGAGTGGGAGTGGATGCGTCCACGCTCTCCATTGATGCGGCCCGGCGCATCACACACGAGCTTGACAAGGCCGCTCAGCACCTCGTGCTCGTCAGTCACATGCTTAGTCACATGCTTAGTCACATGCTTAGTCACATGCTTAGTCACATGCTTAGTCACATGCTTGGTCACATGCTTGGTCACATGCTTAGTCACATGCTTAGTCACATGCTTAGTCACATGCTCACACCTGCACACTAGCTCACATGCTACTGCACCCTGCTCCCATTCATAGATTACAGAAATGAATAGAATATACCACAAGTTGCTGCACGTCCTTCTCTCTCCGTCCCCTCTCCGTTTGTGCCCCTCGCCTCCTGTCCACCAATTTCTTTCACCTTCCCCTCCCTACTCCTCTCCCCCTTCCCGTCTCCTCCCCCCACCACACCATTTCCCCTCCCCCCCTGGCCGTTTCCCGCCCTTCCCCCCACTCCCCGTTCTCCCCCTCTCCCCCTATCCTTAGACCCCCACGAATCTGGTGGACGAAGTATGGGGCGCGGCGCGCCCACCGCCCCCCAGCGAGCCGGTGCGCGTGCACCCGGTGAAATTCTCCGGGCGGACGGTATCAGACAAGCTGGCGTGGGCGCGGCGCAAGATGCGCGAGGAGGGCGCGCGCGCGCTCGTGGTAACCGCGCTGGACGAGGCCATGTGGCTGCTGAACGTGCGCGGGGCGGATGTGCCGTTTAATCCGGTCGTGCTGAGCTATGTGGTGCTGACGCGGGACGATGCCACGCTCTATGTGGACGGCAAGAAGGTCACTGATGAGGTGCGGTGCGGTGCTGTGTTGGGAGGTGGGGGCAGGTGGGAGGAGGAATGGAAAGGTAGCGGAGATGGGGCGAGGCGGGGACAGGGGGACAGGGGTTGTTGAGGGGAAGGAGAGGTTGAGTGGAGGATGGATGTGAGACGGCGTGCATGTGATGTGAGTGCATGGATGCTTGCGCTCTTTCTTCACCTCGCTCCTCCCTTTCCACCCTTTCCCCTCTTGCCTCCCACCAACTCTACCACGGTTACCATGTGTGCAGGTGGCAGCGCATCTGAAGGGCTATGAGGGTATCCTCCCCGACCTGCATGCGCTTGCTCATCCTTCACTTGCTCCTCCCTTCCCACCTGCTCCCCTCTTGCTTCCCACAAACACTACCGCCACTGCTCCGTGCTGTGCGAGCAGGTGGCAGCACATTTGAAGAGCGAGGGCGTGCAAGTGAAGGGCTATGAGGCTATCCTCCCTGACCTGCATGCGCTCGCTGCTACCCTCGCCGCCGCCGCTGCTGCTGCTGACAAGGAGAAGGGGAAAGACGGCGGCGGGGAGGGGAAGGCAGAGGCGGGTGGGAAGGAGGAGGCTGAAGGGAAGGAAGGGGAGAAAGTGGAGGAGAAGGCGAAGGAGGGAGCGAAGGAGGTGGTGATGGAAGAGGCTAAGGGGGAAGGGAAGGGCGTGAAGGCAGAAGGAGAGGGCGGGAAGACAGGCGAAGCGAGCAAGGAAGCGAGCAAGGAAGCGAGCAAGGAAGCAGGCAAGGAAGCGAGCAAGGAAGGCGAGAAGGAGGCAGGGAAGGAGAAGGAGAAGCCTGGGTACAGCGTGTGGCTGTCCCCTGCCACGTGCTCGTACGCGGTGTACCAGGCAGTCAGCAAGCACCTGCCCGCACAGCACGTGCTGTTGCAGCAGTCTCCAATCGCCCTGGAAAAGGCCATCAAGGTGCGGTGCTGTAGGGTGCAGTGCGGTGGGGTGGGAGAAGGCCGCTAGGTGAGGCTGCCCCTCCCCACGTTCATGGGCATGAGGGGAGTTGAGTGAGGGGGGTGTAGAGTGGTGGCGATGAGTGAAAGGTGGGGGATGAATGATTGTGGTCGAGGGGAGGGAGGGAGGTGTTTTGAGTGGCTTATGGGCATGACATGACGCACGTCTCGTCACTTATTGGAAGCTGTCTCAATGCATGACAGGTGTAACAGTCTTGCACTCACCTCACGCTCCCCTCTCTCCCCACTCCCACTCTCCACCCTTCCCTTCTCCCCTCGCCTCTCCCCTTCCCTCCCCCCTCACCTCTTTCCCCTCCCTCACCTTCCAACTCTGCTCTGTTGTCTGCTCTCTCCCCCCCATCGTGCCCTCATGTCTCTCACACCCCACCACACCACACCACACCACACCCCCACCCCACCCCACCCCACTACACCACGCACATGGCATCAGAATGAGGTGGAGCTGGCGGGGCTTCGCGCCTGCCATGTGCGCGACGGCGTGGCACTCGTGCGCTTCCTCTCTTGGCTTGACCACCAGGTACCTTGCTGCTTCTCAAAAGGGTGCTGCAAGTGGGAATGTGGGGGACTGCAAGGGGGATTGTGGGGGGAGGGCGTGGGGAAAGCAGGGGACAGGTGGGGGGATTGGGGCGGGTATGGATGAGTAGCTACAAGAATCAATGGATGGGACGGGGGAAGGGAAGTGGGAGGTGGGGCAAGGGCAGCACGACGGGGGCCCAGTTGGTGTTTTGGATTTTACTCCAGGAAGCACTGCGTTGGGGACAGCAGGGGGGCGTGTGAGGGGGGAGCAAAGAAAGCGAAGAATTGTTGTAACTTCAAGTCTTCGATACGAGTGTGTAATGTTGTGTGACAACACGTGTGTGTGGTGTGCGGTGGTGGTGTGCAGATGAGGGAGCAGCAGGCAGCCCCGGGGTACTTCAAGGAGCGCGCGGAAGCTGCAGGCAGCAAGCGCAAGCGCTCCTTGTGAGTTGTGCTTTCAACCAGGCTGCTCCGTGCTGCTCCGTGCTGCTCCGTGCTGCTCCGGGCCGCTCCGGGCTGCTCCGAGCTGCTCCGTGCTGCTCCGTGCTGCTCCGTGCTGCTCCGTGCTGCTCCGTGCTGCTCCGTGCTGCCTTGTGCTGCCTTGTGCTGCCTTGTGCTGCCTTGTGCTGCTCGCTCGCACCATTCGCTCTGCCCCCACACGCCTTGCCCCGCTGCCCACCCACCGCCCTTCTCTATCTTCTCTCCCATTGCCCGCCCTTGTCGGCCCCCTTTCCCCGCCTCCCACTTGCCTCCTCGACCAAGCCAATGCATCCTTTCCCTTCCCTCCTCTCCAGTCTCTTTCCCCGCTGCCCTTTCTCCTGCCTCTATTCTTTCTCCTGGTCCACCGTGTCCTCTCCGTTTATTCCCCTGGCTGCAGGAGTCATGCAACTCCCACTCGGCGCAGCACCAGGATCGCAAGGGGGTCTGGTGGGGAAGGGGAGGAAAAGAGTGTGGTTACCAGTGAGGTGAAGGCGAAGGGTAGGGGGAGAGGGAGGGGGAAGAAGGTAGAGGAGAAGGAGAAAGAGGAGGAGGAGAAGGAGGAGGAGAAGGAAAAGGAGAAAGAGAAGGAAAAGGAGAAGGAGAAGGATGAAGAGATGAAAGATGTGAATGATGCAGAAGGGGAGAAGAAAGACGAGGAGGGTAAGGGTGAGAAGGAGGGGGAGAAGGAAAAGGAGAAGAAAGATAAGGAAGGGGAAAAGGAAGGCAAGGAGGGGGAGACGGAAGTTAAGAAGGAGGGGGAGACGGAAGTTAAGAAGGAGGGGGAGACGGAAGTTAAGGAGGGGGAGACGGTAGTTAAGAAGGAGGAGGAAAAGGAAGAGAAGATGGAAGTTGAGAAGGAAGAAGCGAAGGAAGGAGAGAAGGAAGGCAAAAAGGAAGAGGAGAGCAACAAGGAAGGGGAGAAGGAAATAAAAAAGGAAGAGGAGAAGGAGAAGGGAATGGAAGTGGAGAAACAAAGCGAGAAGCAAGGGGAGAAAGAAGGCAAGAAGGAAGACGAGGAGGAAGGGAAGAAGGAAGAGGAGAAGGAAGGGAAGAAGGAAGGAGAAAAGGAAGGGGAGAAGGAGGAGGAGAAGGAAGGCGGCCCTGTGGCACTGACAGAGTGCAGTGTGGCAGATAAGCTGCTGGCGTTCCGACAGGAGCAGGAGGTGAGGCGCCATGCCCTGTGTGGTGTTCCCTTGTGTTGGTCATGCTCTGTCTCATCCCCATGCATGCACCACACGTGGCACATGTTTCACCCGGCGATTCATCCTCCAACCTTGTATCAACTCGCGCATGTATCAACTCGCGCATGTATCAACTCGCGCATGCATCAACTCGCCAACACCATTCCACATGCCACCTCTTGGTCCCATCCCTTCCACCACAGCACTTCATGGATCCGTCCTTTGCCGCCTTTTATCAATTGGCGCCAATGCGGTCATCATTCACATGTTGTAAAATCAACTCGGAAACACCCCCATCATACCATCCCATGCCCCCCCCCTTCCGACAGCACTTCATGGGTCCTTCCTTCGCCACCATATCATCAGTTGGCGCCAACGCGGCCATCATTCACTACAAGCCCGAGCCCGACACATGTGCTTCTCTCACCGCCTCCGAAATCTTCCTCTGTGACTCGGGCGGGCAGGTGACCATCCATCCTTGCATGCTTGGAAGGAGGGGAGAGTGGGCCTCACACTGTTGGGGTGTGGGCAGCAGCATGGGGGTGCGGGGGCATGGGATGCAGGAGGGATGGAGGGCTGTTGAAATTCCCCTGTGCCATCACTTTGCCCCTCTTTTGCTTCTTCGTCGCACCTCTTTCGCTCCTCCACCGCCCTCTTCTCATCGCAGCTTCTAATCTTCTCCCACCCGCGGCTTCCCCATTCCTCCCCCCGATCCTCCTCTCCCCCTCACTTTCCCCTCACTTCCTCATTTCGTGGCAAACTCCTGCTTTCCTTCCGACTCCCCGCTTTCCTGGGCCTGTCGTGCTCTCTCCCCCTCTGCACAGTATCTGGACGGCACAACGGACGTGACGCGCACGGTGCACTTTGGCATGCCAACGGAGCATGAGAAGAAGTGCTACACACTCGTGAGTGCACGCACCCGGGCATGACTGCACCCTTGCATGTTCTCACGCTGTTGTGGCATGCATGCATTGCTGATCCCCCCCCGCCCCTCTTCTTCACACGTCGACATTCAGAAACCTTACTGGTCGTTCAGGTGCTTCGAGCGGGTTTCAAGTGGGCTTCCCTCTCCGGCTTCGCCCTCCTTTTCACTCCCTCTCCTCTGCTCCTTCTCCTTGCACCCATGCACCCATGCACCCATGCATGCATTCATCCCTGGCCATGTCGTGAATGTCCCTCCCCCATCAGGTGCTCAAGGGGTATATAGCGCTGGAGCAGGTCATCTTCCCCAACGGCACCACCGGTACGCTATGCACCCGCACCTCCTTCCTTCCTGCAAAACCCCTGTGGGGGTCGGCGTTGATTCTGACTTCCATCCGATTTTTGAGGCGCCTCAAAAAGGTCGGCGTTGATTCCGTCTTCCATCCCATCCAATACTCGTCTGCCTGCAAGCCACAATCAACTCGTTGATCCTCGTGTGTGCTGCGTGCTGCTCCCCTCCCCTCTCTCTCCTACCCCGCGTGCTGCGTTTTCTGTGCTGCTGTGTGTGCTGCATGTGCGGGGCAGGCCACATGCTGGACGTGTTACCGCGCAAGGCGCTGTGGCAGGAGGGGCTGGACTACCCGCACGGCACGGGCCATGGCGTGGGCTCCTTCCTTAATGTGCACGAGGGTGAGAGAGGGGGCGTGATGGGGCGTGGGTGGGCGTGGGTGGGCGTGGGTGGGCGTGGGTGGGCGTGGGTGGGCGTGGGTGGGCGTGGGTGGGCGTGGGTGAGCGTGGGTGGGCGTGGGGGACGTGGGTGGGTGTGGGTGGGCGCGCATGAGTGTGTATGCTAGCAGATGGCTGGTTCGTGGAGTTGTGTGCTATATAATTGATCTACTACCTTCCTTCTCCTAAAACCTCATGCTCTTTCTCTCTCATTCTGCCTTCTTTTATCCCTCCCACCCTTTCTCCTTTCCCCTCACAACCCTCCTCCCATCCTTCCCCCATCTGCCATCCTTTCCTGTTTAAGTGGGCTGTGTGTGTGCTGCTGTGTGTGTCCCCTCCCCGCTGCATCAACCACTCTCGCCTCTTGTCTCATTCGCTCTCTCCAACGTTGTGCCTTGCCAATTCACCTATGTGTTCCAGCCATCAATGTGCATCCCTCCATGTGCATCCCTCCACACACCCACGTACCCACCCACCCACGCATGCTCCCACGCACTCATCCACCCATCCACCCACCCACCCACGCATGCCATGCATGGTGACAGGTCCGCACCTCATCAGCTTCCGTCCCAAGGCCATTCAGACAGCCCTTGCTGCTAACATGACCGTCACTGATGGTATGTGTCATGTGGGGGAGGGAGGGGGGAGGTAGGGGGGGCAGGGAGTGCAGGGATGGTGGGGAGCGGGGGAATGGAGGGAGGGAAAGATAGGAGGGGGGCAGAGGGGAGGGAGAGGAGAGAGGGGGTGGTACAGGGGAAGAGGAGTAGAATGGTATCCCCTTCTTTTCTGTCCATCCGTGTCCGTTTCCCCTTCTGCTAGTGCCACAAACTGACTCTTATGCTCGCCGCTGCTAGTGCCACTTGCAGATCTCTTCGCTCGTCCTTCACGCACCTCAGCCCCCTTCCCCCTTCCCCCTTTACCCCTTTACCCCTTTCCTTGCCTCCGCCCTTTTCCCCGATTCCCGCTCCACCGCGCCATCCGAACATGGAGCAGAGCCGGGGTATTACGAGGAGGGCAAGTTCGGCATGCGCGTGGAGAACGTGCTGCAGGTCACGTCGCCCTTACTTCCCGCGCTCCCTCTTCAGACCCCTTTCCCCTCTTCCCTTTTCCCTGTTCCCCACACCATGTGTACGCGAGCAGAGCCGGGGTACTACGAGGAGGGCAAGTTCGGCATGCGCGTGGAGAACGTGCTGCTGGTTGAGTCTACGGAGCTGCCCCACAACTTTGCCGACCGCGGCTACCTCAAGTTCGAACCCATCACCCTGGTGCGCACACACACTCACAGGGAGGGGAGCGGCGGCGGACGGGGGCAGGGGTGGGGGAAATTGCATTTGCATTTGCATTTGCATTTGCATGAGCATGAGCATGAGCATGAGCATTATCTTGTCAATCTGTTTGAATTCCCTGCACTCATGTCGTCTCATGTGTGCTCGAGCCCCTCCCTCTCGTGAGACATTTTCCGTAAAAAAGCCTGCCCACCGGTTTTCCTATCTTCTGCCTCTCTCGAACCCCTCCCTCTTCTTCTTCCCTGCTCGCTCCCCAGTCCTCTCCCTCCACGCTCTCCCCTTAGCGTTCTGTCTCCACCTTGACTTCAGTCTCTCCCATACCCCCCCCCCCCCAACTCCACCTCCCTTCTCCGCTCAGCCAAAGCATCACTCACCCGTTTTTCCGCTCTCCGCCCGTACACCCACCAGGTGCCAATTCAAACGAAGCTGATTGAGACGTGATGAACTCCCTGCTGTCCAAGCCAATCCCGACCGTGGTGACTCTAGAGGTGTGCATGAGTCGTCTAAAAAGAACCCCTCCTCTCCTGCCCCATGCACTCCCACCAGGTGCCAATTCAAACGAACCTGATAGAAAACTCGCTGCTGACCAAGCTGGAGCGCGGTGACTTTAGAGTCGACTAAAAAGAACCCCACCCCCCCACCCTTCCCCCTCCCCACACACCATCACCTCCCAGGTGCCGATTCAAACGAAGCTGATAGAGAACTCGCTGCTGACCAAGCCCGAGCGCGACTGGCTCAACCACTACCACGCGCGCTGCCGCAAGGAGCTCTCTCCCTTCCTCGAAGGTGCCGACCTGGACTGGCTGCACCAGGCCACGGAGCCCATTAAAGCCCACTAGGAGGAGGAAGAAGGGGGGGCTTGAAGCTGCTGCTGCTGCTGCTGCTGCTGCTGCTGCTGCCCCTCTCGCTCCATTAACGAGCTCTCTTGCCGCCAAATGCTGCTGCTTCGTCTTACATCTTTCCACTAACTTTGTGCTTGCTGACTTTGCCTTGCATGCGTGCTTGCATAATGGACCTCTAGATGTAGTACTGTCAAGTCTTCGCTCCACTATGTCACAATCACTTAATTCATATAAGTAGGGACATGTATATGACCAAGTGCAGATAATTAACTTGGATACTTTTATCCTATGTGACTCCACCCGAAAAGATTAGCATCTATACAGGGTCGCTTGCCCGAGCAGGAATTGTAGCGCGTACGTGAATCCCAGTGCCCTTTGGCGCTGCCCATTTATCTGGTCTGCTTCTGATTTCTTCATTCCGTCCACTGCCCGCCCCCATCTCCCGCCGTCCCTCGCGTCCCCCTCGCCCCCTTGTGTGCCCGGACCGTTCAAGGTGCGTTGATCTTCCGTTCGTCCAACCTGCCCACCCTTCCCTCTCCTTCCACCGTTCTTTCCATGTCGTAGGCGTGCCGTATTCCTCACCGCATCGTCCCCCTGCCTCTCTGTTCAACATCGTCCGTTGCACTCAGTGTCGCCCCTCCACGTCTTTAATCCACTTTCGTACGCCGTGAGCGTTCTTGAGACGCCTTAAAACTAGTCGTCGTGTAACAGTATTTTCAAGTATTTCCACACAATGAAATTACGCCCGCATAATGCCCATCCGCCCATTCGCCCCTCCGCCCCCACCCTCCCTCCCCCTCCCCCCCGGCCCCCCTACACGCGATCCCAATTCGCGCGCGCCTTGCCCTTCCGCTTCCGCAATTTCCGCAGCCCCAGCCATGGCATCTTCCGCGCTTGCCGGTCGCTCCGCCGTCGCCGCCGCGTGCTGCGCCGCGACAGCCGGCGCCAGATCCGCCTGCTTGTCGTCGTCGCGCTCCGCCGGCCGCGTCGCCTCGGTGCTTCCCCGCTTCGCCGCCGCAGCCGGGATCGCGGCGGTGTCCACGCGCGCTTCCCCTGCGCGCGCATCTGCTGTCCCAGGTACGCCGTCGTTTACCGCCGTCCCGCACTCCCTTACCCCTCGCCGCCTCCCCGTTCCCTGTTCTCGCGTCTCCCCTTCCAATCCATCAGTAACCAGGCTCCCACCGCCCCCATCCGCGTCTCCGTCTATCCAACTCTCACCCTCTCGCCCTCGCCTCCTCCCCCCACTCTCCCCTCTCCCCCTCTCCCCGTCGCCTCCTCCCCCCACTCTCCCCTCTCCCCCTCTCCCGCCCCGCCCCCGACCCCGTCCCTGCAGCGGGAGGCAAGGCGGCGGTGGCGACGGCGGAGGCGCCGGCGGCGCTGGGGCCGTACAGCCAGGCGATCCAGGCCAACGGCACGCTCTACGTGTCGGGCGTGCTGGGACTCGTGCCCGAGGTGCGTGCGTGCGTGTGTGCCTCCCTGCCTGCCTGCCTCCCTGCCCGCCTGCCTGCCTGCCTGCCTGCCTGCCTGCCTGCCGCTCATGTGCTGTGCTGCTTCCCTGAGGCAGCGCTTTGGTGGCGCTTTCGTGGAGCTTGGTTGTTGCTGGTTAGCGGGCAGCGGGCATTGAGGAGACAAGCGCAGGAGTGAGAGAGGGTACGGAGGAAGGGATTGAGGAGTGGAGGTAGAGAGGAGTTTGAATGGACTGTGCTGTATGGGCTGAACTGTGGTGAACACGCGTGCTGGCACATGACTTTCGAGGCGCGTCAAAAGCTGTGCGTGAAGTCACGTGCTGTCATGCACTATCATGGCCTCACCTTCCCCTCCCTTCCTGTCTCCGTGTGTGCTCCCTCTCTCCCTCCCTCCCTCCCTCTCTCCCCCTCTCCCCCTCTCCTATCCCTCTCCCCCTCTGCCCCTCTCGCCTATCCCTCGCCCGGCACGCCCATGGCAGACCATGAAATTCGCAGGGGAGACAGTGGAGGAGCAGACAGAGCACGTGTGTTTTGAGTCGACTCGAAACTCTCCTTCCTGTCTCCGTGTGTGCTCCCTCCCTCTCCCCCTCTGCCCCTCTCGCCAATCCCTCGCCCGGCACGCCCATGGCAGACCATGAAGTTCGCAGGGGAGACCGTGGAGGAGCAGACAGAGCAGGTGCTGGTGCTGCCCGCATATTATGGGAGGGAATGGGGTGTGAAACGGGGATGGAAGATGGGGTTAGGTGGTGGGGATGGGGGAGCGGGGAAGGCTGCCTGAGTTACTGTTTATCCCTGGTTGGGTTTCCCACTCTTTTCCCGGAACCTCTTCCAGTTACATCTGCACTCTTCCGCTACTCACTCCCCCTCCTTCCTTCATCCCGCTTCCTGCAACCACTAAAACCCATGGGTATGGGATGAATATAAGGAACTTTACAAACAGACCCTCATTCTCCCTGCCCTCCTCTCGTCTCCCCTTCTTATTCCCTCCATCCCTGTCCCCGCAGCTGATGAAGAACATGGGAGCCATTCTGCGAGCTGGGGGAGCTGACTTTGACTCGGTGGTCAAGACCACCATCATGTGAGCCACTCTCGTTCGTGCTCTTCATGCCACTCTCATGCCCTAAGTCGCGTTTCATGTGCCTCGTGTTGTCAGGCCCTGTGCATCTGCGCTTTCAGTCTTATCTTATCCAGGCCCCCCCACACCACCTCCTCCTCCGTAGCGCTCTCTGGCTGTTTCGCAACTCCTCTTCGCCTCGCACTGTTCCCGTGTCGTCTTCCCCACTAACACCCCTTGTCGCCACCCCTTGCTGGCCCGGCAGGCTTGCGGACCTTGCAGATTTCGGCACCGTGAATAAGATATATGCCACATGTGAGTCCCTTCACACCATGCCAGGCCGTGCCATGCCATGCGGTGTCATGCCATGCCACGCCATGCCTGGACATTGTGCCATTTCTTCTCCTTGCCACATGTTTCACCTGTCCCATTAATCTATGGCCCCCCTCGCTCCCTCACACCCATCCTGCCCTCTCTTTCCCTGTTCCCCAGACTTCCCTGCACCTGCTCCTGCGCGCTCCACATACCAGGTGGCAGCGCTGCCTCTGAATGCCCGCATTGAGATCGAGTGCATTGCTCTCATTAAGAAGTAGGCGGCATGGCACCACATGTGCACTATTGCGCGCTCAAACACACACAGCCACAACATACGGTACTAGCATATAAGAACGTGAAGTGGACGAGTTTTTCCGAATTTATGTGCTAATGTATGGAGACATATTCCTGTTACTGGCGCATTCATGTCTGTGTCTATGAAAGAACTTATCCACATGTAAGGGCTGGTTGGGACAAGAAATAAGTACTTCCACAATAACAGTATGCAATGGAAGCAACTCCATTGCTGATGCTCTACTTTGTATCACATCCTGCCCCTTGGGACAACTCAGGATGAACTGACAACTTCCAAGCGACTGGAAGATTCCCCATTCATCCCATAAAGCCAGCAAAGACTATACGGTATGTACAATGTCTTGTGTTGATGCACTGTGGTGTGGTTCTGCGTAGGTCACAGCACAGAGCACGATGGTGGCGCCTCCATAGCAATTCCCAGTGCAGGCTACTATGGCCGCGAAGTACAGCAACCAGACCAGTACACACCAGCCACTGCAATTCGACAGGAGCATGATGTTCCAGAACCTTGCTTCCCCAGCCTGCACGAGCATGGCATGGCACAGCACTGCACTTGGCATGCCACACCACTCACCGCATGGAACCACAACAAACCAGACCTGATTCATCATTCACCCCACTATCACCACTCTCACCGTAACCACTCACTCCCGCCACTCAGTGTCACCACACTCGTCACATTCTGCCCACTCAACCTCACCACCCTCTCTGCTCTCACCCTCACCGCACACTCCAAAACCGATTGCTCTCGTGCAGCAAGTGGCATCAGTGCCATACGGCTCATCATGAGCCACCCAAGGGGTATCACTTGCTCTCACCCAACCAAGGGGACTCAGCCCCTATCACTTGATCTCACCCAACCAAGGGGACTCAGCCCCTTTCACTTGCTCTCACCCAACCAAAGGGACTCAGCCCCCTTCACCCACTCATGCGCATCAGGCAAAAGTGGCATCAGTGCAACTCATCATGTGCCAACAACAGGTGGCATCAGTGCAACTCATCATGTGCCAACAACAGGTGGCATCAGTGCAACTCATCATGTGCCACCAACAACAGGTGGCATCAGCGCAACTCATCATGTGCCACCAACAACAGGTGGCATCAGTGCAACTCATCATGTGCCACCAACAACAGGTGGCATCAGTGCCATATGGCTCATCATATGCCACTGCCAACCCCACTGCCTCTCACCACCATCACCACCCAGCCCACCCATCCCCTCCCCACCTTACCTGCCAGCAGTAGGAGCAGCAGACAGCTCACTCCCCTTCGAAAACAGCATGCTCAGGGCCTGTGCCTTGCAGTGCGAGGTGTGGTAGTGAAAAATTGCTTCCAGCCCAAGACTTAAATCCCACCCCTGACGTAGCTAGAGCTGACGCCAACCAGAGCCGCCGGCCAGTCGGCTCTGACGGTGTCCATTAAGCCTTAAACGCCAGATTGGTTACTTGAGCACCGAGTGCCGTGCCGCGCAGATTCCACCCACCACACCCCAACCCACAAGGCACAATCCCAGAAGATGCTGCCCCTAAGGCAGTGAACTTCCCGCTTGCTCCCACGCTCCCCACCCACCCACTCACCCACCACACACTTCACCCCCATGCCTGCTTACCTCTACCTACCTGAGCCATGCAGAGCGCCATGATGCCTTAGGCTGCTGGGAAGGGAGGGAGGCAGGGAGCAAGGGAGAGCAATGAGCAAGCAGAGAAGTACAGGGAGGACAGGAGCAAGAAAAGATAGTGAAGCATTGGGAGAAGGAAAGCAGCAGCGTGAGTGAAGGAAACAACACAAACGAATGCATATCTGGCAGGGAGGGGAAAAGAGGCTCACCTTGTTTCAGACAACCCATCCCGATACTCTCCCATCCCATGCCAGCTGAGTCAAGTGCTGCCTCCCTCCCCTCTCCCCAAGTGACCTGGCAGTGGGGGGAAAAGGGGGTGAAGAGATAGGAGAGGAGGGGCAGGTAAGTTAACATCAACTGAAACGGTCAAGTAAACAAAAGAACACTAGAGTGGACAAAAACGAGAATGCCGAATTGAAGTGAGGGAAATAAGGCATATGTAGCAGGGAGGGGAAGGAGGCTCACCTTGTTTCCCTTCCTGCCCCAGCCGAGTGGAGTACTGCCCCCTCCCCTCCCACCACTGCCACCTGCAAGGCACACACACAGAGCTGGTCAGTGGTCAGCGAGGGGATGAATGGTGAAAGTGCAAGAGAGGGAACGGCATTTGCAAGGCGCAAGAGGGGAGGGGCCACTGGTGGAGGCCAAGTCACAAACTGCAGACCCAAGGGCTGCACCTGAGGGGGTACCTGCACACCTGCACCTGAGGGGGTACCTGCACCTGAGAGGGTTACCTGAAGTAAGGGGGTCTGCAGCATGTGAGGCGGGCCCAACCAGTGGCGCTGTTTCAAGAGGAAGGTGCGGAAGCGCATGCAAACACGAGATGCAAGCAAAGTACACAAGACATGGCGACGCAGGCAAGGGGTTGAGGGAACTTAGCTGGCAGATGGTGAACGTTTGAGGGAGCTGCTGCCTCGTCCCTGCTCCCCTCCCCTCCTCCTCCAGTGTGCGTCTCCTGTTGAATGCCAAGTGACCTGGTAGGGGCAGCAGACAGGGGGGGAAGTGACAGCAATCGATTTCGCATGACCAGGAAAAACAACAACAGCTGCGGCTAAAAGAAACGAGAAGGCGAAATTGAGGAGCAGAAAGGGAGAGCGATGAGGGCAAGAGGGGAGGTGACGTACCTTGAGAGGCCAAGCCCAGCCCGATACTCTCCCTTGTGGCAGCGCTTGGCAGTGCTGCCTCCCTCCCCTCCCCACGGGTACCTGCACGGCCACAGGGGAGGGGCGTGGGGAAGTGTCGGTGTAAACCCCCCCCCTCCCCTCCACCTGCAAGGCACACACGCAGAGCTGGTCAGTGGGCAGCGAGGGGATGAATGGTGAAAGTGCAAGAGAGGGAACGGCATTTGCAAGGCGCAAGAGGGGAGGGGCCACTGGTTGAGGCCAAGTCACAAACTGCAGACTCAAGGGCTGCACCTGAGGGGGTACCTGCACACCTGCACCTGAGGGGGTACCTGCACCTGAGAGGGTTACCTGAAGTAAGGGGGTCTGCAGCATGTGAGCCGGTCCCAACCAGTGGCAATGTTTGAAGATGGAGGTGAGAAAGCGCATGCAAACACGGCATGCAAGCAAAGTACACAAGACATGGCGAGGCAGGCAAGGGCTGAGGGAACTTAGCTGAAGAGGCGAGAGAGAGCTGCTGCAGCAGCAGGTGACTCCTTCCCCGGCAGCCCTCCTCCCAGCCTTCCCGTGTGCGTCCCTCCCTACACGGCCACCGGGGAGAGGCGTGCGGAATGGCGGTGCTGACCCCCACGCCCCTCCCCCCCACCTGCAAGGCACACACGGAGAGCTGGTGAGTAGGCAGCAAGGGGAAAAAGTGCTACAGCAGATCACGCAAGGCAAATGAGAGGGAGGGGCCACTGGTGGAGGCACAAGCACAAGCCACAGACTTCCAAGGGGACCTGAGGGGCTGTAGGGCTGTAGGGGGGCCTGAACCTGAACCTGAACCTGAGGGGTTTACCTGGAATAGCAAGGGGGAGGTCTGTGGCTCGTGAGTCACGCCCCAACCAGTGGCGAGACGGAATGGAAAATAAATACATGAAGCAGAATGAGAGGCACGGTTCAAGGAGGCGAGTCACTTAGCTGAAAGTTGGAGGCGTGGTGGTGCAGGCCTGGATGCAGAGTGGCGTACGGCTTGAAGGGAAGGACCTGCAAGGCAGAGAAGGGAGAGAGAGAGTGAGTAGATGAGAGGCAGGAGGGAGCGGCCCTTGCAAGTGAGAAGAGCGCGTGACAGCAGTGCGAGTGCAGAAACGACGGTGCATGTGACGCCGCCCACAACCCCACAAGAGCCACTACCAACCTGCACCTGCACCTGAACCTGAACCTGAGGGGGAGCGGGCTCATGTGGAGTGCGGTGGCAGGGGCGATACTTGCAACCTCAACCGTTGATGAGGCCGGCGCTGCTGCCCTGCTGCCCCCCTCGCCTCCTGCTCGCCTCCCCCTCGCCTGCCCCTCGCCTCCCCTCGCCTGCTCCCCCTCCCCTCCCAACACTGCCACCTGCATGGCCACAGGGGAGGAGCGCAGGGAAGTGGCGGTGTTGACCCCCACACCCCTCCCCTCAACCGGCAAGGAGAGAACTGAAGAGAAGTGAGTAAGCGGTTAGGGATAGAAATGTGAGAGGAGTGATTGAGACGGCATGTGGGAGCAGAGAAGGGGGCCACTGGTGCAGCCTCAGCCACAAGCCACAGACCCAAGAGAGGCACACACCTAGGGAGGCTTACCTGCAGACCTGAGAGAATACCTGCAGTACCTGGGGGAATTTACCCAAGAAAAAGGGGTTTGTGGCTTGAAGCTTTGACTCAACCGGCAGCTTGTGTTTGAATGCACGCAGGAGATGCAGCAAGGACTGAATCGGACCAAAATGGACGCAAGAGGCAGCGCGGGTACTTAGCTGCAGGTGGGTTGTGTGGAGAGCAGGTGCTGCTGGTGCTCCCGTGTGAGCAGGTACTGCTGCTCCCATGTGAGCGACCTGCTGGGACGAGAGGGGGCAGATTAGGACGGAGAAGGGAGGTGGGAAAGGATGGGGATGTGAAGGCAGAGGAGTGCAGAGGGCAATGAGAAGATGCAAAACAGAGTGGATTGCAGGGCAAGGAGCGAGACAAGAAGTGGGCATGGGGAGAAGACCAAGCCACAGCATGACTGATGAAAAGGAGGGGATATGAGGCTCACCTTGTTTCAGACGACCCAATCCCGATACTCTCCCTTCCCGCCGCAGCCGAGTGGAGTGCTGCCCCATTCCCCTATCACCGTTGCACCTGCACAGCCACAGGGGAGGAGCGTGAGGGAGTGCCGGTGTTGACCCCCACGCCCCTCCCCTCAATCGGCAAGGAGAGAACTGAAGAGAAGTGAT